TAGAAACTTCAATGTTATCTATCAATCCTCTATCACCTATCTATCCATCATCAATCTATCATCTGTCTGTCTATGTGGGACACTCCCCCCTCCCTCTTACAAGAACCTCTGTAATTGCATTGAGTTCATCATATAATCCAGAATAGTCTCCCCATTTTGAAATCCTTCAATTAATTACATCTGCAAAGCCCTTGTTTCCTATAAGGTAACATAGTGACGGGTTCTGAGGACTCAGTTGTGGACAGTGCTTTTCCCTCCCTACTATCCAGTCCATTCTGACTCACAGTGACCCAATAGGAGAGGACAGAACCACCTCTGTGGTTTTCCAAGACTGTAACTCTTTATGGGAGAAGAAAGCCTCATCTTTCTCCCGTGGAGCTTGCTGTTAGCAGCCCAGTATATCACCTCTTCGCCTCTAGAGGGGTCAGGATGCCAAGGGTTGGTGTTGTTGGAGTACAGCAACCCTCCATGGCCGAACAGAATTGCCACATAGGGGGTTCGAGGGCGTGCTCTTCACAGGCACGGATCCCCCGGTGACCCTGCAACCTTTGGGTGAGCAGCTGAGTGCTTACCTGTTACACTCCGACTACCAAACAGCAAGTCTCCACGCTCAGTTTGTGTGTTTGTGTTGAAACAAGCTCTACTCCCTGTGCATGCCTGGCCCCCCAACACAACTGCTCCTAGCCAGAGTGGTGAGTCAGGGATGGGCAAGTACATGATTGGAATCAATGCTGGATGGTTTCAAAAACTAATGATTGTAAGGTGCATTTTTTCTTTTAGATTAAAAGTTCATTTTATGGAGGGCTCTTACAGCTCTTAAAATAATCCATACATCAATTGTATCCAACATATTTGTACATATGTGGCCATCATTATTTTCTAAACATTTACAGTCTATTTGAGGCCTTAGTATCAGCTCCTCTTCCCTCCCCCTCTCAAGAACCCTTGATAAAATATAAATTATTATTATTCATATCTTACACTGACTTCCTTCCCACATAGTTTCTGTTGTTCATACCCCTGGGGGTGGGGGGTGGGGGTAATGTGTCAATCATTGCAATTGGTTCCCTTTTCCTCCAGGTGCACCTTTTTTTTTCCTTTTCTATGTGAATATATATATTTTTAAATCATTTTATTGGGGGCTCATACAATGCTTATCACAATCCATACATATATCCATTGTGTCAAGCACATTTGTACATTGGTTGCCATCATCAATCCCAAAACATTTGCTTTCTACTTGAGCCCTTGGTATCAGCTCCTCATTTTTCTCCTCCCTCCCTGTTCCCCCGATGAACCCTTGATAATTTACAAGTTATTATTATTTTGTCATGTCTTACACTGTCTGACATCTCCCTTCACCCACCTTTCTGTTGTCCGTCCCCCAGGGAGGAGTTTATATGTAGATTCTTGTAATCAGTTCCCCCTTTCTACCCCAACTTCACTCCACCCTCCTGGTATCGCCACTCTCACCACTGGTCCTAAGGGATCATCTGTCCTGGATTCCCTGTGTTTCCAGTTCCTATTTTTACCAGTGTACATCCTCTGATCTAGCCTGATTTGTAAGGTAAAATTGGGATCATGATAGATGGGGGAGGGGGGGGTTTGAGCATTGAAGAGCTAGAAGAAAGTTGTATGTTTCATTGTTGCTACACTGCACCCTGACTGGCTTGTCTCCTCCTGGCAACTCTTCTGTAAGGTAAGGTGACCAGACGTCCCGCTTTTGGTGGGACAGTCCTGATTTTTAACAATTTTTCCCGTGTCCCGCAGCGTTTTTAAAAAGTCCCAATTTTTGGAAAGAATGCACAACAAGCTAGGGTATACAGTTTTTGGCTGCCATGAGGCTATTTGCCAGGATATGAGTTTTATCAATGGTGTCCTGCTTTTGTCCCGCTTTACCAATGTTAAAATCTGGTCACCTTACTGTAAGGGGATAACCAGTTGTCCACAAATGGCCTTTGGGGCCCCACTCTGCACCACCCCCTAATTTACAATGATATGCTTGATACCTAATCCCTTCGACACCTCATGATCACACAGGCTGGTGTGCTTCTTCCATGTGGGCTTTGATCCTTCTGAGCTAAATGGCCGCTTGTTTACCTTCAAGCCTTTAAGACCCCAGACACTTTATCTTTTGATAGCTGGGCACCATCAGCTTTCTCCACCACGTGTGCTTATGCTAGGTACACCTTTGATGGGGATGCAAACTGCAGACTAGCAGCCCTCACGGCGTAGTGTTTACAAGTTGAGCTATGATGCACAAGGTCAGCAGTTGGAAACCACTACCCTGTACAGATGCACTCTTGGAAACCCACACAGGCAGTTGTACCCTGTCGTACAGGGTTTCCGTGAATCAGAATCAACTCAGTGGCAGTGAGCTGAACTACAGAATATGTTCACCTAGTGATGGTGACTTGGGATAGCTGCCTGAAACTGAAAATAACGGCAGTACCAGACCCCAAGCTCAACCCCGGTGCCATTAAGCCCATTCCAATGCATAGCAACTCTATGTAGGGTTTCTGGGACTATGAATCTTTACAGGAGCAGCTAGCCCCATCTTTCTCTCAGAGTGGCAGGTGGGTTTGAACAGCTGACCTTGTGGTTAGCAGTCCAACGCTCACCCACAGCGCCACTACAGGCTCCAATGACAGTCAATATATTAAAGTTCTCTCCCAATTGAAACACTTTAAATTCTGGGGAGAACTCCCACCCAGACCATGAAGGATTAACTGTCACAGCAATTCCCCTCCCACTATAAGCAATTAGCATGCGAACATAAAATCTGGAACAACTGCATTTAGACATGGGACAACAGAGACCGGGGTTCTAAAAGATGGGAAACCAACAGGACGAATGCTGAGAGTTGCCTTTGCAGACTTAGAAAGCGCCTAGAGCACTTTCCAAGCTACAGGACAAGCTACAGGACAGGGTCAGGAACCCGCCAAGCCCAGTGGCCAGGCTGAGCTGAGAACAGAGAGCCAAATTCAAAGCATTCACGGCACCCAGAGTTTGGGGCACAGGGAGTGCTGGAGAGGAGAGAGGTGCCCAGAGAGGGCCAGGTAACAGCACAGAGGTCTTCTCAAGTCACCTGCTAACTGCAAGGTCAGTATTTCTAAACCGCTGACCACTCCTTGGGGGAACGATGGGGCTTTCCTCTCCCGCAAACAGTTACAGTCTCGGAAACTCAAGCGGCACTTCTACCCTGTCCCATAGGGAAGCTGTGCGTCAGCATTGACTTCATGGCAGTGAGTGTGGTTTGGGTTTGAACTGCACAGTCAGGGAGTCAAACTGCAGGTAGACAGGGAAAGAGCCATCCAAAAAAGAGGAGGCTAAACGACTCCCAGAGTTTCCAAGGAGCTGGGATTACTTCACATTCCCACCAGTCAGCGTGGAGAGCTCTCAGAATATACGGAGCATGAAGCAGAGTCCTCAGAAAAACATGATTTAATAACAGGATGAAATTGATGACAGAATAAAGGCGAATCTGAGCCTGCCCTGATAAAGCCTTTAAACACGCTTCAAAAGGATCCCATTGATTCAAAGATGATTCAAGTGTATGCCAGAACCAAGCCCAAAGGGATACGGCAAAATTTGGCAACTGGCAACATAAAATTGACAATGTCCAACCCTGGATCACAATGATCAGGCTTTCAAATCATCTCCCACAACTAGAAGTAAAATCAGGCCATGGGAATGCTCAGTCATGATAGTGGCGATGGAATTGACAAGGATTTTAAAACACCTATTATAAATAGTATTAGTATAGTCACAGATGAGAAAAATGAAATAAAAAGAAATATAATCATTTAAAGATCCAACAACATTTACCTACCTGTCCTGGGGTCCATTCTGTCTGCAGGCTCAGGGAAGCTACAGAATCAATGGAGCTGAGATCCAGCTGTTCCAACTCACTCTCATTAAGAGCTAGAGCGATGCACCCCAGGGAGACGATATGGTGCACCCTCCAGGAAACAGGCATGCCCCACACCTGCAGGCAGAAAATCACCAGAATTAACATTACTGGCAACATTTAAAGGGGGCATGGACTAAATCCCCTTCCTTTATAGAGGTCTCTTATAAATCAATATCCAAAAGTTGGGCACTTTTCTAGGAAAAAAAGACACAAACAGGAAATTCACAAAAGGAGAAACAGATACCTGGAAAACAGTTTACTCGCAGTCAATTGTTCAAATATCAGTTTTAAAAACCTATCAAAACATGCCCTGTTGACCCATCATATCGGCAATGAATACATCAAGTGAGTGCTTGGGGTGTTGAAAAGGTATGAGGTCAGGGATACGCTCGTTTGTCGCTACTGAGAACATAAATTGGCACGTGCTTTTAGAGGGCAATTTGGTTCTATGTATTAAAAGTGTTGAAACTATTTATACTCTTTGACCCAGAAATTCTACCTCTGGGAACGTAGCCTAAGGAAATAACGAGACAGGTACTCAAAGATACCTGTAGAAATGCATTCCTTGTGGCATGAAAAAACAGTAAAAGCTACCTAAAAATCTAACAAGCAACTAAATAAATCAGATTCTGCCATACGGAGAAATGTGCACACGCCTGTTAGATGTGGACAGCAGGTCACAGAACGTGACGGCATAATGTGTTTTCCACATATCCTCATGTATGTATAAAACACACTCGCCATTTGATATGGGGAATATATAAATACATTTTATACACATAAACAGAAGTCTGGGGAGCTCGCGTACCAGAGCACAAACAGCTCTTCTCTCTGTGTCAAAGATTGGGATTGGCTTCCTTCTGTATTATCATCTGGGTTTTCTCCAATAAATCTGGACTAGTGACATTAAAAAACCCTGAGTTACAAATATAATTTCAAGGAATTTAATTTCTTATCCCCACCGGGGTAACTATCCTATCCTAGCAGCTCAGATCCAAAATACGCCATGAAAGTCTAGCTTTTAAAAGATGGCAAGTGACTCTCAGTCCGCCTCTTGTTTCTTTCTGGTACGTTTGCTTCCCGATGAATGTCTCCAGCAGATTCTGAGCACGGCCGCAGCAAGCAGCCATGCGACTTCAGAGAAAAGGCGCCACTCCCGGAACCACTGTGGTGAGGGGCCCCAGAGCATCCGCTATGTGCCAAGACCCCTCCATCCTCTGTCACAGTCCTACAACGGGGAAACTCGAGACTGCCCAGCTCACGGATGCAGACATCTCCCATCTAGCACTAAGCTGGTGTGGTGGAATTCTAAGCACAGTACAGGATGTGCACAACCCCCTGAGAAAGGCTCCTCTTTGCGCAGAAAGGCTGCGGCTGTTGGTTGTCCCCTCGGTCTAATGCTTCCTCCCTCTGAAAGGAGCTCTACCTCTATCGCCTTCTCCTTCAGGCTCATCAGCTGAGGCCGACTGAAGCCCTGGACCGTGCCCAGCAGCTCCACGTGCCTGACGAACGTGTCCTCCTCCATGCAAAGGAAGGCCTCCGGGGCCCAGCAGGCATTGGCCTCAGCTAACTTGAAGATGTCCTCGGAAGAAGGGACTGCGACGCCATGGCAACCTGAAGAATAGGAAGAAGCAGGTTAGGAACAGAGGGAGGAGATTTCAGGGAATCTCCATCTGTTTCTGTTGTTGTTGTTGTTGAGAATGTACACAGCAAAACAAAACCCACCCAAATGATTTCTACATGTGCAATTCAGCGATATGGATGAATGCTTCGAGTTGGTCAGCCATTCTCACCATCCTTTCCTGAGTTGGCACCCCCCGCCCCCCCGCCGCGCCCGCCCCCCCCATCAGCATAAGCTCCTCATCTAACCTTTGGAGTTGCTGCTGTCAATTCAACCTCATACAGATAGAGGTCTGTGTCCAGGGAGACAGCCTTGACTAGGGAAGCTGAGCTATTCTTTGGTTTCAAGAAGACTTACTGGAGGATTATTGGTTTATGTTTTAAAGATTATCTCAGGGCAATAGCTTCAGAGAGTCATCCAGCCCCCGTGGCTCCAGAAAATCTAGAATCCAGGAGAATTTTATGTTCTGTTCTGCATTTCCCTCCTTTTGATCGGGATCCTTCTATAGAATCTTGGATCAAAATGTTCAGTAATGGCGGTAGGTGGTCAGGTGGCAAAGGAGGCGGCTGCTCATGGAGGCCCTCAGCCAGGCATTCCAAATCCTCCTGTTTCTGGCTCTCTTTCTTTCTCTGTTGCTCCAAGACCATGGAGAACCTATTCTTCTCCAGGTGAATTCATTGACAGACAGCGGAGTATGGAAGTTGGTAACACAGACGCAGAGGCCAATTTGAATCCCATGTCTAGCATTTCTTGCTAGTTATCTGGTAACAAAGTAGATGAAATTCCAACTTTTTGCATATTGAGTTAGTTAATTGTGCCAGCCTGGCCGATAAT